ACTTGAAAAGCATCCTGGAGTTCCCATATGGAACATAATGCACATTCAAGGGGACTGAGGTGTCCTGCCATGCTTCTATTAATAGATTATTTTCCAAATTAAATTATTTGATATGCAAATTAGCCTGTAATTTCCTAATAGCCACACCTGACCCAACACTTCCAATCAAATTAGATTGTGGAATGAGATACGTGACATGGAAATTCTCTGCCTGAGAAACTTAACTCCCTTATCAGTCCAGTAATGCGAATGTGTTGCAACAATCAGAATCAGCATTTAAATTGGAAAGATGGAAATGAGGAGGGGTTACAGGAGAAATATGATCTCCACTGAGTCACTCAGAGAATGGAGAGTTGTAGAGAGTTTCATAATTGTTGGGTTGCTCTCTGAGCTTCATCTCCGTAAAGCTCAGATTTAGCAATAGGCTGAGAGGCAGTTTTGCTAACTGAGACATTCGTTTGATTTTAATTATTATTTTTTATGACCTGCTGTACATGGTGAACTGACACAAAAAACTTCAATTTGAGGGTATGATACTCTTGCTGAATCACTTACTTGGTTGCTTGGTATTTCTCATTGCAATCAATACTATGTCATTGATCAAATGCCATTATCATCAGAGGTCACCTGATCAATCTTCCAGGAAACAGTCAATCAGAATGGGTGGATTGGTGACCCAAAAACCTTTGACAATGGGATTAGTGGAAGTGGTGCCATCTGTTTAAGCTGGTATTTTCCTGGCAATTCCCTCCCTAACAGTACTGCACATGAGACCATATCAGACAAATTGTAGGGGTTAAAGAACGTGGCTCATCACCAGCTTCTGAGGGGCAATTAGGAACAGGTAATGGCCTTACCAGCAACATCCCAAAGATGACTTCATTTTAATCTCAATTTTTGTTACTGTTGCATTAGGATTTTATTGTTCCAAAATTGCTTAAAGTTACCTCCAAATATTAATTTTTCTTATATGGACAAAATAAACAAATTATGACTTTGAGCCCTGGTAAATTTTGTGCGTACAATTCAGGTTTATGCTGTTAATTGTAGACTGCTTTTAAATCTGCTGCCAGCAATGTGACTGTTCTACAGTTTAGAATGTACTTAGGAATGCATTGTGTGATATATTGAGTCGAACCTTTAGAGATTAGCACCCATCCTCATTAACACTGCCTCTGGATTCTCCTTTCCAACTTCTTTTTCTTTCCCCTTCAGTATTATTATCAATAGCTTTTATCTTCTCCCTTATTCAAACCCAAAAGCAAAAGTGAAGAAAAAATAATAAGGGTGGCAAAGAGGCTCAGTGGTTAGCATTGCTGCCTCACAGCACCAGGGACCTGAGCTCGATTTGACCCCTGGAGTAATTGTCTGTGTGGAGTTTGCACATTCTCTCCGTGTCTGTGTGGGTTTCCTCTGGGTGCTCCGATTTCTGCCCACTGTCCAAAATGTGCAGGCTAGGTGGATTAGGCAGGGTTATGAGATTTCTGTAGTTGTGGAACAAGAACTCTGAGCTGATTTTTTCCTTACTTGACCTTGTGGCACTTAACAGAATTTTGCAAAATAGCTCCTCCAGCATGCATGGCTTAGCAAATGCATCTGATAAACTTGTAATTGTGCAAGGGGAATTTGGCAAAATAATATTGTCAATCTATATATATATATTACAGATGCAGACAGACATTCCTTCAGCACCTATCTTATCCCAATCCTTTATAAGACAGAGATCAAATACAGCATCACTTTTCAGCTCCAATCACTCCCTAGGCTCAGTGACTTTCATCGGCTCCCAATGCATTAAACCCTTCACTTTTAAAGTTTTCATCCTTGTGTTGAAATTTCTCAATGGCTGCAACCTCACTATCCTTGTAATCTCCTCCAGTGCCATAATCCAAAATTAATCCTGAGCAAATGAATGAGACATAAATATAAACTAAAAATTTCTATCAACATTAAAAATGAAATGATGAGCAAAACACAAATGTGGAATCATTACCAGGACAGACAGGAGAACTTATAATGAGTATTAAGGAAATGGCAGAAAACAATAAACAAATACTTTACATCTGTCTTCACAGAGGCAAGTACTCATTCTCTCCACCCACCAGCTCCCCAGAAATAATGAAGAATCTAGGATCTAGTGTAAATGAGTAACTGCAACATATTAATATTATAAAATGTTCCTGAGAAATGCAAAATATTAATATCTTGAACAGTACCAGAGAAATGAATGGGGCTTTAAGTGGATAAACATCTTGGACATTATGATCTACACCCCAGAGTACTCAAAGTGGTGGAAGCCGAGAGTGGAAATGCATTGGTAGTCATCTTTTCAAATTTTGTAGATGCTAAAATTGTCCTTGCAGGTTGGAAGGTGGCAAATGTAACCCCATTTTTTGAGAAAGTTAATGGTAGTACATATCCTTTATTAAGGGACAAGCTATGATCCCGTTGGGGCTTTTTTTGACAATGGACTGAAAATGAGATCCTGCAGGTCTATTGGCCTAATGAAAGTCAGAGGGAAAAAGCTATAATCAATAATAAAGCATGCAATTAAGGGGCACTTCCAAAATAATGGTTAAAAATAAGAAGCATTGGCATGAACTTATGAAAAGGGAATCATGTTTAACAAAACTGATGGAGTTTTTTTGGAGAAAGTAACTAGCAAAATAGATAAATGGAAACTGGCAGATGTGTATTTTCAGAAAACTTTCAATGACATCCCACACAAAAGGTTGATAAACAAATTTAGAACACGAGATTGGGGGAAGTATTACTGGAATGATCCAAGAACTGGTTAACAAAGAAAACAGAGAATAGGAAAGATGTGTCATTCTCAGCTATTTACAGTCTTTATTATTGATTTGAGTGTGATGATTAAATGTTATATGTCCACATTTACAGACAACACAAAACTAAATGGGAGGGAGTGTTTTGAGAACATTGCGAAGACAATTCAAGGGATTTTGGAGAGGACAAGTGAGTGAATGAAAATATGGCAGATGGAATACAATACGGAGAAATGTGAGGTTATCCACTGGAATAGGATAACAGAAATACAGAGTATTTCTTAAATAGTGAGAGGTTGTTGAATTTCAAATCGACCTGGGTGTCCTTGTACATGAGTCATTGAAAGTCAACATACAAGTATGGCAAGCAATTGAAAAGCTAAATGGTATAGTGGCCTTTGTAACAATAGGATTTGAATATTGGGAAAATAAGTTTTGTCTGCAATTATACGGCACCTTGATGAGACCAAAAATGGAGTACTGTGTGCAGTTTTGGTCTCTTTGCTCTAGGAAAGATAGACTTATCACAAAGGGAGTGGAACAAAGGTTCAAACTAATTCTTCTGATGAATGCACAAGGAAAGATTATATAGACTCAGCCTTATTTATTGGAGCTTAGACAAATGAGAGCTGATCTCATTCTAAAATACTTAGTACTTGCATACATCAAGAGAATGCAGGGAAGATAGTATTGAAGTAGAAAATCAACCGATATCTCACTGAATATCACGTAGGGCACATACAGGTGAATGGCCTACTCCTATTACTTATGTTCTTACATAACCCTCAGTGATATCTGCATTCTTTTAATTCTGATCTTTTCAGCATTCCTGATTTTAATTGCTCCATGATTGGTGGATGTGCCTTCAGCTACCTGGCACCTATGTTTTGGAATTCCACCATTAAACTTCTCTACTTTTCCACCTCACTTTTTCTTTTTCAAGAAGCTCCATAAAATCTAATTCTATCAAATCACATTTGATAACTGCTCCTTTGAAGTGCCTTCGGGCTACTTATGATGCTAAAAATGCTATAAAAGTGAAAGATGTTGCTGCCACAATGCCACTTGAAGCCAGTCATGTGGAGATGTCTGGAGAGTCTTCAATAGATTTGCTGATACTAATTTTCTCTTTCCCCATGATGGGAAGTGTTCAGTCTTTTCTTGAAACATTCTTATTTTCACTCAACTAAGATCAGGAACTCAATCCTTACCTGACCACTGTATTGTGCATTAAATGTGATGTCCAAATTTACTTCCTCCTTTCTCAGTTTGCAGGCTGGAAGTACAATAATTTACTGGTTTGGGAACTTAGAAGCTAGAATAAAAACTGAAAGAACTGCAATTTCAAATCTCCCTGTGACAGGCTAATAATTTGAGTTTGGTTTATGTGGGCAGTGCATTTCAGGGAGGATATGGTGACCTTGGACCATGTGCAGTACAGAATCCCCAGGGTTGGTAGTCAGATCAACAAAGTATGTCAAATGTTATGAACGTATCTCAAAATTTAAGCTGGGTCATTTAGGAATCATTTCTTCCATGGAATTCTGGAACAGTGTTGCAAACATCTGTTGAGGCTGGAAGCCAATCGAAGGTTTCAAAATTGAGATTGCTAGATTGTTGTTGGGTAAGGAGATTTAGGGTAGGCAGGCTTAAGATGTGGATCAGTCATGTCACAACTGAACAGCAGAATAGACTTGAGGGGCTGAATGGCATCCTCCTATACAAAGCTGGTTCTGAACGGACAAGTGAGTTATGAAGTGGGGAATTGGAGTGTCAGTGGAAGGCTGAAAGCAGCAGAACTACATTGTGTGAATGGTGTCATAAGCTGTACAGCAGCATGAAGGGAAGTGGCGCTGACTACAAGTGTCAGGTGCTGGATTTACCTGTCACATTTTACCAGAGATAGATCTCAGATTTGCCCGAGGAGTCTGGAGAGACTTACGGAAGTTCTGGGACAAACATATGCCCTAACATTTCTCAAGGATGTAGATCAAAGAACCTCACCGCAGGCCTACATCACATAAAACAGTTTCCTTCTCAGCATTTATAAAAATATTACAGTTAACTGTTTTATTAATCTTGAAAAATATGAATAAAAACAGCAAGAATAAAAGAAATGAAAGAAAACACTTCATTTTAAGCGAATGGCATTCAGCTAACAAGCAGATATAAAACTCAAACACATTCAACAATAAATTAGACAAATGAAAATACCTGTCTCTACTCCTGCGGGATGGAAACGCTGCATTGCAACCTTCTACTGTGCAAACATGCATCTCCTTCAGATGAACATTCTTGTAGTGTAACTTCACGCTGTACGAACTTTTAAAGCTCTTCTTGCAGACATAACAGATCTTAGGATCAGGGCTGGAGCAGAGTTCACTCTCTGGTGAGTATTTCTGGGGACTGCTGTATCCCACTGAAGGAGAGAAGCCTTCTGGCAGGGCAGCAATGTTCCCTCCTCCTCCATTGTATAAACCATACGGGCTGATACTGTAAAACATGTCATAGGTTGGGTCAGTGAACTCTTCTTTTATTTTAATAGTCTGTGGCTGAGGGGAAACACAGTCTTTGTCTTCAGGCTTGCTGCTTGACATTTCCTCCTTTTCATATACTTCTCGGTGTACCCGCTCATCATTTTCTATGGGATTATCGCACATTTTAGACTCGGAACCTTCAGATTCATCCTCAAAGTCACGGTCATGCTCTTGCTCCTCTGAAGTGATGCTACCTATTTGCTTATCTTCAAACCCACCAAGGCTTCTCTCCTCATCTGGTTTTCTGCTGCTGTGTATGTGAATGTTAGGACTCATTTCTTTGCGACAATTGGCGTTATTCATTTCCTCGTCCTGGTTGCAATCGTTGACATGATTTTCATTGACCTGGTCATCTTCATCAAACTCATCAGCCGTGTCAATCACCTCTTTTTCAATCTTTACAGGCATGCTTGATTTTCGAGATTTTTTCTTGGGGGCAAGGTCAGCTGCCAATTCCTGAGCCATGGGTGGATGTGGCTCGGGGGCGCAAGGCTGTTCGAGGGTGGGCACTATGGGGCTGGATGGGAGCGATGTTGGAGGGCTCACCATTTCACCAGATGTCAGCAAGTTCCTGTAAAATGGAGGGACAGGTTCCACTGTCTTAAGAGGAGGGAATACCAGGGGGTTCTGAAGAACTGGATCGACTGAGGAAGAATTAAAGCCCATGGATGGTCGCCCAGGCGATGTGAGACTTAAATTTGATTTGATGCTGGATATGACTGGAGTGGCTGCTCCAGATGTGGCTCGGATGAGATCCTTGTCTCTGTTGTTCCTCAGCATTGGCATGTGCAGACGTGGATTGGGATTGGCACTATGACGATTGCGGCTCCTCAGGGAACTGAAAACCATGTTGCAGCCTTCAATCGTGCACCTATGCTTAATCTTCAGGTGCACAGCATTGTAATGGATCTTGAGGGTACCTTTGTCATAAAAAGTCTTACCACAGGCATTGCAGACCACTCGGCCCTTTCTTGGGGTCAGTCCAATTCTCTTCACCCTCTGAATTTTTGAGCTCAGAAGAGTACTTTTAGAGTTGTCGGTCTTGACCGGGTCATTTGCAGGAGCTGCTGGTGTGTGAATTGGGGACAACCTGCTCTGCTCGGTCTTGGGCTCAACATTGATAATGCTACTGAGGGCGTTCCTGCTGCTAGTTTGGTCATTTCGAAAAGGCGAAACGGAAACTTCAGACTCACTGCTCTCTACATGCTCGTTCTGGATAGGAAGGTTGGGTTCCCTCAACCTCAGGCTCTGTTCAAGCATGACACCATTGGGGGGGAGGCCAAGTAAAGGAGCAGAGATGGGGTTTATGTATTGGAATGGAAGTAGGAATGCCAGGCTGTTGGGGATATTTTCAAAGTGATGGATGCTGGAAGGGTTGCTGTTTTCCAGATGAGCCAGGAGGCTAGGGCTCCTAGTCCGATTGTTGCTTTCTATAAAAGTTCTGATATCAGAATCTGCTTTTGAAGTCGGCACAGCCACAGCCTGCCCTTCTTTTTCTTGGATGGCCATCAGCTCGACAATGGATTTGGTTTCTCCGAACCTCAGAAACTGCTGGAGGGTAATGATCTCTTCTTCCCGGGACATGATAGCCCAGCGGTCCAGCACCTTGCCTGCAGCATCCTTCAGGCCATATCAAAGAAACAACAAAGACAAACACAAAAAAAACTTATTGATTCCGCATAATTACAGCAGTCTTATTGCGAAAATGCTACAACTGTCCTACTGATGCAGCAGAGGCCCACGAGCAACATGCAAAGATTGTTATTCCCATTCGACCCACAGAGCAAACTTTTCTGCCATGCAAATGTGGTAATTAGGTTCACTATTAGTGAAAGAGACAGAGTTTAATAATGTCAAAGCAAATACAGTGAAAACCATTGGGACTATATGAAATGAACCACCTAAGATTCCGCTATTACAAAGACAATGATCTCTTTTATGCAGATGCTCAGTATACATTGCTTATTAATATGGGAACACTTGCTGTGCAAACTCAGAGTAAATCAACAAGCTTCACTACAATCCTTACAAATACGATGTCATAGAAGGGGGAAGAATTCGGAGGTACAATTTTTTTTGTCTTTCCTGAAAGAGTGAACCAAAAAATGATAACACAGTGATAAAAACAGCGACTTATTTATCAAAACTTTTTATGTTAAATCTTCTTGGTCAACAGAATAAATAAAAGTAACAAAGTCTCCCTCAGCATGGAAGCTTTCATGGTTGTTCCAAGATAGGTACCACATTTTGCAAAGTTTTGGGTGATTAGAGACTGTTTTCAAAAATTGTTATGACTAATTTAACTCCGAGTAGAACATAAATAACTTTGGCTCAGTCTTGTTGCAGCAGCTCAACAGACAGAATCAGATCTCTGAAGTTAAGCTGCAAACCAAACTACCTGGAACCATCCTAAATTAAAAGCAAATATTTTTTTAAAAAGACAGTTCCAACATGCACAGTTATATTTCTTTCTATCAGCATATTTTCTCAAAGGCAAAAAGGGGAGAATGATCGTAAATCATTGATCACCGTAGTCTTTGTTGTTAAATATACATTAAAAAGCATTTCGCAGCTTTAATATTAGAGTGCCAGGCTACTTTGTGCCTTGAGGTGATGCCACATAATTGATGTTGTACTTGTTTTATTCCAGACAAATATTGTGATATATTAATGATACTGGCCAGGCATTTCAACATTCTTTTTAAACATTAAATAGTAAAGAGAAACAGCACTTCAGTGCAATGAGAATGTATGATCTCTGTGTGGATCATTATTTCTAAATCAGGGTTCGGATTTCATGCTCAGCTGTTATCCACTGTTACCTGTTTCAGTGGTGACCTGAGAAGGGCAGGTTTGCCTTTTGATGGTGGAGAGAATAAACTGGGTAAATTTGGTATCAATTACGGTTCAGCACTCATTTGAAAGCTCATCCCTAATATACTCTGGTCCTCCAAAGAACCCCCATATATTATATCAATAATAACTTGTATGTAACCACCAATATTTCTTAGGTTGCAAGATGTCTATCAGGCACTTTACTCATTACTTTCAGACACATAAATACTTTTGTTGGAAAATAAAATTAGCACCACGTTCCATGTGGAGCCAGATAACTACCAAGTTAACGTTACCTCTTCTTTTTTAGAAAAATACTCTGAAGACACTCGGTCATGCATGAATACTTACTGTTTTAGTTCAACTGACTCTTTTAACAAGTTACAATGTCAAAACATTCAAGGTAAAACAGTTGGACATTGTCCCGTTTATCCGGTAGGTCTTGTTGATTGGAGAAGAGAAGGTTTGCAGAGTGTGAAAGGTTTGTTTAGGAACATAATAATAAGAAAAATACATTCTACCCTTCTGCCATTCAGTTAGATCATGGCTGGTCTGTATTTGATCTTCATTTGCCCATGTTGCATCCCATAACCTTTAACAGCTCTACCCATCAAAAATCCACCAATATAGAAAAATATTTAAAATAAAATTAAAAACTGCAGATGCTAGAGATATGAAAGAAAAAAAAAATGCTAAAAATGGTCAACAGCCCAGGCAGCATATCCGGGAGGAAAGATTGAATGTTTCAGGTCGAGGTGACCTCTCATCAGAACTAGACAAAAAGATAGAAATGTAAGAATCTTTATGCCAGTAGAAGGGGTTTGGGGGTAGGGGGAACAAAAGGGAAGTTCTGTAATTAGGGTATGGGTCAGGAGAGTAAAAATAACAAAGGATGTCATGAGGCAACAGCCAGAGAACGTGGGAATGGATGTGGTGAAGAAACTAAAGATGTGCCCACATGAGGCAGTTTCCATGCAAAATACAGTAATAAAGAAAGAAACAAAGACAAGAAGTCAGCAAAACAAAAAAAAATCACAAAAAACACACATAGAATAAGATGGATTCAGATGTCACGGTCTAAAGTTGTTGAACTTGATGTTAAGTCCGGGAGATAAAGATAAGTCAAAACATAAGGTGTTGCTTCTCTGGAAGACTGTAGCAGGCGATGGACACAGAGGTCAGTGTGGAAGCAAGGTGGAGAATTAAAGTGACAATCTCTATCTTTACCTTATTCTGTTTTATTTTCTTTTCCATTGTGTCTTTTTCTTTATGTTTTTGCTTTGCTGGCTTGGTGTGCCTTCTTTCTTTCTTTATCCCTTCACGTTGCATTCAGACAGCTACTATTGACATCTCATTTGTGCACATCTTGTTTGTTAACTATGCCTGTTCCCACTCTCTTGGCTGTTGCAACATGAAATTGTTTGTTATTCAATCTTTCCTGCCCTTCACCCTCTCACAGACTTTACCTTTTGTTCCTCCTGTCACCTCCCAGTCCTTTTGTGACTTAAAAACTCTGACATTTCGATTTTTTTTCTCACCTCTGATCAAGGATCATCTCAATTTGAAATGTTGCCTCCGTTTTCTCCACAGATGCTGCCTGACTAGTTTCCAGCATATTTTGTTTTAACAGTTTAGGCACATGATCAGATAGTGCCACTTTACTAGAAAGAAAGACTTGCATTTATATAGATAACACAGTGTGGAGCTGGAGGAACACAGCAGGCCAGGCAGCATCAGAGAAGCAGGAAAGTTGACATTTTGGGTCCGGACCCTTCTTCAGAAATCCCATTTCTGAAGAAGGGTCCCGACCCAAAACGTCAACTTTCCTGATCCTTTGATACTGCCTGGTCTGCTGTGTTCCTCCAGCTCCACATTGTGTTATCTTTGACTCCAGCATCGGCAGTTCTTACTATCTCTGACTTGCATTTATATAGCACCTTTCATGAACACAAGATGTCCCAAAGTACTTACAGTCAAAGTATTTTCAAATGTATTCACTGTTGTAATGCAGCAAATGCTGCAAACAATTTGCATACAGAAGGTTCCCACAAAATAAATGGCAGATGATTGATTTTGTGATGCTGTTGAGAGATAAATATTGGCTGAGATACCATGGGATTCTTTGCTTTATTCATTCAGGGGATGATGGTTTCACTGGCTCTGCCAGCATTCATTGCCATCCTCAACTGCCCAGAGGGCAGTTAGGAGTCAACCACATTGCTGTGGGTCTGGAGTCACAAGTAGGTCAGGCAATGTAAGGATGGCAATTCCCATCCCTAGAGGACATTGGTCAACCAGATCTCACCCTTTCAATCTAAAAAATAATTGCAGTGAGCTCTTTTGTAGCCACTAGGAGGGCAGTCAAAGCCTCAGTTTCATGTCACATCTGAAAGATGGCTCACCTAACAGTGAAACACTCCTTCAGTACTGGGAGTAATGACTGCTGAAATTGCTGTGCTCAAATCCTTGAGTTTGACTTAAACACACAATCTTCTGATAAAGTTATCTGAGTGACGAGCAGTGGGTTCTCAGATGTTGTCAGTAAGGGAAAGCACATAGATGGAGAACAGCAGGGGATTGAGGAAAGATCCTGGAGGAACACCAGATGGCACAATGCAGGAGCAGGTTAAGAAACCACTGCAGGTGCTTTTCTGTGCTAGAATGAGATAAGAGAAGGAACCAGGTGAGTGCAGTGCCTCCCAGCTGGATGATACCGGAGATGCAGCAGAGGAGGATGGGCAGGTCAACCGTCTTGAAAGCAACAGACTGGTGGAAAAAGATGAGGAGAGATCATTCACTTTCATCACAGTGAGACAGCACACAACTTGTGACTCTGCAGTCACTCTGGTGCTGTGGCAGGGGCAGAAACTTGTCTAGAGGAATTGAAGTGTAGTTTTCCAGGAAAGATGGACAGGGGCTTGGGAGCCGGCAAGATGATCAAGGTGAGGAAAAGGATGTTTGAGATGAGGCAGTAATTTGCAAAGGCAGAAGGGTCAAGAGTTGGTTTGAAATCTCTATTAGGTCTCCTCCTAACCTTCTCCATCCTCCGGAGAATGACTTTGAAAATTGCAATGATCACATTTTTGCAGGAGCATGCTATAAATTACTGACGGTAGGAATCTGACCACTGGGGTGGGTTGGCAGTGGGATTGCGATAGGAAGTTAGCTTTGATCTTTATCTTAGGCGTTTCTCTCCCTTCTATATTCATACAGCATTTACAACTGCCCTGAAGGATGCTCTTTTGGATGCAATGTATCAACCTGAAGTCTGGTTTGATGCAAAACTGCAAGCCAAGATCACAGGCAAGCAGCAGCTTGTTGTGATTATCACGAGCTCATGCGCTGATCTGAGGCTGGTGAGAACTGACACTATTGAAAAGCTTACATAAATCTCTGAACGATGGTGCACCTCCAAGGTCTGGTGTCCATACCATCCAATAATACATCGATGGCTCAAATTCGAAAACTGCTTTCAATTTCTCAAAAATTCACCTTGAAGTAATTTCCTGCTTTTGCATGAACTGACCCAATTCTATTCAACAGACACATAAATAAAGAGAGTAGTGGCGAGATAGCAGTAAATAGATTGATGTCTGTGTATTACACTCTTAGCCTGTACTGTATTCATTTTGCAGAGCAAACATTAATGGTGCCAATTTTTCAGGTCAGGGGTCAGACTTTGGTTGAGTTATAGATCTGAAATATTTTCTCAGTGTCATATAGTTTGGGCGTAGGTCACAAATACAAACATCCAGACATACAGAGCTATCTATCTTCTTAATGGG